ATCAGAGATAACATGTATAGCCCTGCCTATATAATCCCAGTATACCTGTCTTCACATATATCATTTATGAGAGAGAATTATGAAACTTGGATAATGAAAATGTATCATCTTATACTTTAGTTATGGGTAACTTGAATAATGGTGTTCCCACACATCTGGAATGACTTCCAAATCGTACATAACCTTGAGTCATCTTAAAGCAAAGAGGATCTCTTAGAGTCTGGCAGAAATTCATATACTCATTCATTCAACAAATCCTTTTATGTATCTGATATATGCTAGGCTTAAGTTTAGGAAATGGAAATACATAGTGAACAAGACAGATAAGTCCCAGTTCTCCTAGAGCTTATAGTTTAGTAAGAAGGAAGAGAAAAAAATATAAATGAATAGATAAGAAGATTTCCATTAGAGATAAGTGCTATAAAAAATAAAGAGAATTTGATAGAAATAGAGTGGAGTGATAGTAGGGATATATTGCTTTAGATGGCAAGTTAAAGAAGGCCTTTCTGAAAAGGTGAAATATGAGTTCAGGATAAGAGGAATCAGTCATGTGAAGTTTTTGGAGAAGAGTGACTGAAATAAAGCGAACACAGAACTCAAAGTGGAAACACACAGAAGTGAGGGTGGACTTCGCTAGTTGGAGAAATGTCATGATGGCCTCAGTGGCTAGTGCATGTAGGAAGAGTAGCAGAAAACGAGTGAAGAGATGAACAGAGGCCAAAGCTTATATAACTCTGTAGACCTTGGAGAGAGTTTTGGATTTTATTCTAAGCACAAATAACCAGGGATACCCTTGAGAACTCAGAAATCATCACCAACAGGAGCTCGGAATGGTATTGTATTATGTGCACTAAATTCTATTTGCAGTGTGTCACCTATCATTAATGTTAGTAGGCTGGGTGAGTCAGTATGGTTACTGATTAAGAAAGCAAACTTTGAAAATCAACAGATAGGAATTTGAATCCTGGCTTAGTTCCTCACTAGGTGTGTGTCCTTAAGAAATTACTAAATCTCAATTTCCTCTGTAAAACAGGTGATTATAATGGTACCTACCTCTGAAGGCTGTTATAATAATTAAATGGCATAATTGCATAAACCACAGCACTATACATAAAGTCAATAAATATTAAGGATAGTAGTAGTAGTAGTAGTAGTACTAAAATAGGGAAGAGAGATAATGCCTAATGTGGCTCCAAACTACACAATATTCATGCTATTTAGAGCATTTATTAAACTGATTTGGGATTGCAAATTTGTCTCTTTGGTTTTATAAGTTTTTTTCATTTGATAAGCAATATATGTTTTTCATAGCCATTACAAATGCAGAATCTTTTATAAGGAAAATTATGTTTTGCATACACACAAAAGGAGATAGGTAGCTGATTTTTGCATATTCTAAAAGAGCTGGGGGAAATCTTCCTATAGAGCCATGGATTCAGATTAAAGATGTATCCCAAAAAAATTATTTTAAGTAGTTAAATATATACCTATGTAGGTTATATATTATTTTCTTCATATTTCTCCACTTAGCTGGTATAATAGTCCAACATTATTATTATTATTATTATTATTATTATTATTATTATTATTCTCCTTAGAGAAAATGGCCTGAGGAACCAGATTCAGTTTAGGGACTGAGGACTCCTCAATGCAGAATTGTTCTTTTCCTCAGTGTGATAGAATGTGAAGAATTTCTTATCTGCCTTTACTTTCTCTCTTTGCCATGCTGATGCCATCAGAGTAGAATTCTAACAGGAATCAAAACATTCATAATTTTCCATGATTTAAAAAATTTTGGAGAAAAAAAAAGGAAAAAAATGTAATTATTACTTTTCAATGCCAGTCTTTTGTATTATCCCAAGACTTGAATGAAATGCATTAGATACATATTCTGGCTAATTCCATTTATAATTCTAGGCAAAATATATAAGAGTAGAATTTCTTTTTTTGTCCTTTTCCTTACCATTGTCCAGATGTAAGCCCAGATCAAAGTATCAGTTTGTTGAAGAAAATACATGTATTTAAACACACAGATAGCTTCTTGGAGTCACTAGTTCTAGACTACTGTGGAACAATAAAATTGCTTTGCTTACAGCTATATTCACAACAGAGGTAAGAGGGTAACGTGATGATGTTGCTGAAGATGACAGAGATGCTGATAGGAGGTCTCCTCAAACGCTTAACGTGTGGTAGACGCCATGCTAGTCTTTGTCTGTCTCTGTCTCCCTCCCTCTCTCTCTTCCTGTAAGGCAAGCAGGTATCATAATACACTTTTAAAAGTGAGCACACTGTGGGCACCCGGGTGGCTCAGTCGGTTAAGCATCCGACTTCAGCTCAGGTCATGATCTCGTGGTCTGTGAATTCGAGCCCCGCGTTGGGCTCTGTGCTGCCAGCTGAGAGCCTGGAGCCTGTTTCGGATTCTGGGATTCTGAGTCTCCCTCTCTCTCTCTGTCCCTCCCCCACTTACATCCTGTCTCACTCTCTCTCAAAAATAAATAAACACTAAAAAAAATTAAACAAGTAAAAGTGAGCGCCCTGAAACTGGTTACCTAGATTGCCTAAGACCACTTGTTAGTAAAGAACAGCACCAAGATTCATACCTAGTTCTGACTCCAAACTTTCTTCTCCCTCTACTACATTACTGTTGATCAAGTCATGGAATGGATTTGTTCAGCTACCTGCAAATGGCAGCCTTACTCCACTTGATTCATATTAACATTTTAATGTTTTATGTTGATAATTAGGTTTCCTATTGTCTTTCATGGCTAGTACCTTTGTATCTCCAAAACCTGCCATAAAGTAAAAAGTCCACTTTGTTTCCCCTTTTTAAAAGATCAGCAGCAACAAGTTACAATTTAATGCAAGGACCCTGGTAATAATTAAAGGGCTGCAGAGAGTCTTTATAGTTACAATTTACAGTTTTGTTTTTCAGCATACATTCTTTTCTTCCAATCCACATCACCACTGGATTTGGTGTACAAATTACTTCTAATTGCAGATGAGGTCAAGAAATTAGGAGTGTTTATGCTTTTAGATATAAAATAACCAAAATAGTCATGCTTAAAACTCTTAGCTGGGATTAATAATGATATAAAGGAAGCCCATAGGAGAATTCAAAATGTTGGGTATTTATATCACAAAGTTGAGTTGCAGAAATAAGATTAGACTTCTTGTTTTTTTTTTTTTCTTTATATGTATATTTACCTTACAGAGAGAGAGAGAGAGAGAGAGAATCCTAAGCAGACTCCACACTGCCAGCGTGGAGCCCATGGTGGGACTCCAACTCACGAACCATGAGCTCATGACCTGAGCTGAAATCTAGAGTCTAATGCTTAACCAAACAAGTGACCCAGGTGCCCCAGACTTCTTTATTAGAATAGTCTTTCTGCTACTTTTGCTTTGCAAATTGCTAAACATAGATGCTGAATAAATGAAGAATGATATTATTAATAAGCCATTCAAATATGTAGAATTCTTGAAGATAATGATTTACTTGAAGAGGCAAAAGTTGTTATGAGCTCTGTCACTCACTGAGCTGCTCAAGATTTGGTTATTTGAGCAGTACATTGCTTATAAAGATGGAGATGTGAAGGAGAACAATGATGAAAAATACATAAAAGTATTGTATTGAGACACTTTACTTTGAGAAACTCATTTAATACCTTCAGTAGCCCTAGATTGTAGGCATATTAAGCATATACTAACTTTGCAGGTGAGGATACTGGGGCACGGGAAGTTAAGTAATTTTACAAGATGTCTAAACTTATAAATGAAGGAGAAAGACTCTGGCTACAAAGTACCTGCTATTAACAACTAAAAATAGGATTTTGCAGGAATTAAAAAGAATTATATATAAAGCACTTAAAAGTTCACATCACTTAAGCTCTCAATTAGTAGTTGTTAGTATTACTATTGCTTGGCTCTTATTATCATTATAATACATGATTATATGAATGTTTTTATTGTGGGCTTAAAGGGTACTTTTTCTCTTAATTATACATAAAGAAAGGCCTCCAAATATTAAAGATGTGAGTGATTTTGCATAATGTCATTCTTAGTTCTAGCCAGCTCTTTCATTAAATGTTGATGTGATTTTTATATATTCCAATGACTATCACTTAGGTTTCTAGAAGGAATCTGTATTATTGATTTTAAAGATAAAAAGCCTCAGTGGAGGAGATAAGCTTACACTGTGTAAAACACCAGTTAACACCAAGCATGGGATAAATAAAAGGCCAAAGATCAAGGCATCAATTAAAAAAAAATGCCAACTCCTTCATAACTACCTGATATTTCTACCATTTCTCTGATTCTGTTTATTGAGTTGGAAGGTACTCACTCAGGAATTTCAGGTTTGTAGAGATTTAGGAAAAGTACTTGACATTCTATTTCTGTTGTTTAAATTTCCATCATAACCACTTTGTATTAAAGGCAGGCATGCAAATATGCGGAAAAATTGTAGGTCTTCTTGAACTTTGAGACGTCCATTTTGACAAAGGGGAAGGCACACGTTTGGAAAAATTTATATGTGCCCCTTCGGTTTGGGTGCTAGTCTGACCTGCCATACTTCAGAATTTTCACATTTTTAATATACCAAGGTGGGTTAAAACAGCCCATTAGTATAAGGCGTATTTTTGAAACTGTTGACATTTGGCTACTGTTCTTTCATCCACTGTTCCGCAGTCTTGACAGAAACTTGGTTTAACTTGCAGAGAGAAAGTGAAAGACAGAGAAAGGTGTCTATACGAAATGCCCCAGAGAGAAGCCGAACTCCTGTAAGGCAACATGTAGGCATTGAGTGTGACACTGTATTAACCTTTTTAATGGATGTATGTAATAAAGTGACATGTAAATGGAGCACAAGGGGAGATATGACACTATATCTGGAAAAGGATAAAACAGTTGGTTGAATACTGGGCTATTATAGCAGTTTGCAAACCTTGGATAAACTCAGTCAGCGGTTGTATAATTGGTTATTCAATCCCGACCCTTGTTCACAGCTCAAAGCCAGGAACACTGAGACCTGTTGCCAATTTGAGTGAATATAGTGACTGTACTCGGCCGGGGCCTAACATTGGAGCCGGGCCTTTTCCTGTGGGCCGGTTTCCACCATGTCTGGGACTGGCTCAGCGACAGTGGGTCTTTTGTTGTGAAAGGCTGGCTGGTACTCCCCTCCTTTGCAAAATGTCTAACAGCTACACAAATATAAGAAAATAGGAAAAGGGACTTACTGTAGCTTTTCTCTTAGTAAGTTACTGTGGAGTTATTAGTTTTCCTTTCTTTATTTTTCTTTTTCTTTTTTTTTTTTTCTTTCTTTTTTGTTTTCTTTGCTCCTTTTTGGGGGAAGTCTGCGTTAACTAAGACAACTTAAAGAGTGATAGAAAAGCCTGCTTCTAGATAAGAATTGAACCTTGGTAGTCCTTGATTGGAACATGATATGTATGGAGAAATTGATAGTAATTTGATTCACAAAAATGGGTTTCTGAAAAAGGTATCTTTACTTTTCCCCCTTTCTCCTATGAATGTTCATGTACTGAGAAGATTGTTTTTACTGAATATCTCCTCCATGACAGAAAGATACAGCATGTTTATAAACCTGTTGCGTATTTAACTTTATGAAACAAGCACCCTACCCTCTCTGCCCAAACACACTGGCTGGATGCCAACAGACTAACCACTTACTGTTTCTAGTCTAGTAAAAATTGAGAAATAAATCAGTGAAGATTTTGATTTGAGTGTATGGTATAAAGAATGCCCAGTCTTCTTACAGTGCCCAATTCAGAAAGGAATCTGTAACAAGCTTGTAGTATTTGCCAGTTAGGTGCTGCTTACTGATAGGGTGACAGTTCCCAGCTGCAATCAATTATGCTTCCATTATTTCTGTTGTTTAAACATGCCTCGGAATACCAGTTCGAAGCATTTCGCAAAATGTATCTTCGTTCCAAAACGAAGTAAAGAGCATTTTAAAAAAGGAAAAGGAAAATACATTCTGAATCGAGATTTTTTTTCCCTGAGAGTATTTATAATCTCTCTGCCACCCCTCTCACCTCCCTGATTCCACCTCACACACCCAGCATTTATAAAATCACACACACAACACATAGTGTTTGATTTAATGCTGGGTTGCAATTCAATCAAGAGACTGCTGAGGTCATATAATATAAATGGCTACAGTACTTCTTGGCTCAGTTATAGCCGTGATCATTCAGGGCTTTGTTTTTGTTAATTGAGTAGCCTCCTGCTGGGGGGAGCTCCTAAATATTTTGGACTATATGTCACGAAAAAGAATTTGGAGACTAGAAGGTAGTGATCTGGGGGTGGGGTGGGGTAAAAGCAGCAGTGAGTTTCTGCAGTGGACAAGGGAAAAGGAAAGACGTAGTTCTGAAACCATGACAGGACAAAGGGAAAAAAAAGCAAATTGTTTTTGAATAGAAAATTAATCATTGAAAAGGGACTGGCTATTGTGAGGCAAACATAAAAATAGAGGGAGCATTTAACTTGAAATATATGAGAAAAAGCACTATAGAAACTCCAACAGAGGCATTTAATGGAAAATACACCTGGCCATCTCATTATAAGTACATCCCTGGGAGCCAAGTGTTATGAGCATTAGTAAGAAGGTGGTATTATAAAAAATTTGATTATAATCAAGCTTAATGTATTTGAGGCTTAATAAAAGTATTGTATGGCAGTAGTGAGTATCATGGCATAATGGAGACCTCTTAGTATTGGATTGTTCGTAAGTATTGTATTTCATAATGTTGATCTGTGGAGGCCTTTACTTCCTGATGGGAAAATAGGAACTTGTATTGGAAAAGAGATCACAGAATCATAGACCGGCCCCTATTAACCCCAGAAAATGCAATTCAACATATATCTTATCATCTTAATCTCCCAAATATTCTTTTAGCTTATATTATAATACAATATTGTATATAACAAACAGATGTCTCCCCTAGGTCACTGTTGGTAATTTAGTAAATTGTAGGTGTCCAACTGGAGAGTCTAGAGCTGCTGGTGAAGAATGAATGCCTGAGATGCCTCATTAATTTAATGTAGGTAAGAGGCCGGTGGGCTTAAAGGATTTGGTAGTAGCCCCATTGAGAACTACCTAACTGTAATTCAAATAGTGTGGAATAAACTTTTTTTTTCCCTATTATTTCTTCCCCTCCATGCTGTGAAAGCTCACTGATCATTATTTTTTAGGCACTTAATGTGTCACGATGAAAAACAGAAAGGCTGAAATATGTATGAAAACACGAGTTTCGATTAAACTCAAATCAAGTATTTTTTAAAGGTGTTGGTTTTTAGTTTTTATGCAGCTCCGTTTGGCACACAGCTCTTCACATGTTTTGAGATTTGGCTTTGCTGCTTTATAATTTTGAGGGTGCTGTGCTATAATCTGAACGATTTGCTTTGAAGAAAAGAGAGAAATAAATAGCGCAGGTTTTACATCTTGAACTCTGGACCAAAATAATAAATTGACACCTACTATATAATTGGGAAACCTGTTAGATTATGTGTCTACTTTAATGTGATTTATAAATTTTGGAAATATTCTTATAAAGAATTGAATCCCCTCATTAAACAAAGTAATTTCTTGTTTTTTGGTAGTTGCCATGGAACAATGATGTCTTTCTTTTCTCTTTAGAAATGGAACAGTTCTTTTTTTTTTTTTAATTTCATGAACATATTTTTTAAGTAGATAATGTACCTTTTAACATTAACTCCTTTTGAATAGTAAAGATCAGGTTGGATGATTATACATTTATTGCAAACACAAGTTTAGTGTACCAAATTTCTTGCAATAAATTATTAGCCTTCTGCAAATAAGATTATAGACGGCTGCAATACTTAGAGTGATTTATTTGTCATGCTTCTAATTCAACTGAAAATCTCAACTATTATTGGAATACCTTAATTCATAAATATGATCAAATAAATGTTTCTAATTTATCATCATTGTTAATAATATTTTATCTGAATCTTCATTCTAGAGGAGTTACAAGATTTTTCCAAATAGTTGAGGGCACTGAAAGCTTTTTGTAACCATCTTCAGTATTCATCCCAGGGTTCACTTTGGGTGAGAGAGCTAATGTTCTGTCACAGAGACCTCTTGGGGCTTAAATGTATTCTGCACCTTTTTGTGAGAACTAAGATAGCAGGTTCCTGGGGCTTTCATGTCCCTCAGGGAAAATTCCCAGAGATATGAACAGTTTTGAATTTCTGACATGTGCAACACAGAACCTTTGTAGCTTTCAGAAGACTATTCCCAAGTTTGTAAAAACTTGTTCTATGACCCCCAGGTCCGAAAATTGGGTAGTCTGTCACTTTACTGGATTCATCCATCCTTTGGGGATGAAATACTAACCTAGATCTTAATTTTTTCATTGCTGACATTGGAACTTCACCAAAATCCTTACACTGTTTTAAATAAGTTTTTTCCCTACCTTTCTTAATTTTATTCTATTAAATCAATAAGTCATTAGGAAAGCATAGGCTACATGTCATTGTATGGTGAATATCCCTCGAGCCCCTGCTATCCCCACCTACTTTTTCTCTTCTCATTTTTTTTTCAATTTATTCATTTTGAGAAAGGGGGGTGGGCAGAGAGGAAGAGAGAGAATCCCAAGCAGGCTCCACACTATCAACCCAGAGCCGGTCACAGGGTTCAAACTGTGAGATCATGACCTGAAGTGAAATCAAGAGTCAGACACTTAACCAACTGAGCCACCCAGGCACCCCTCTCTTCTGATATGTTTCTAACAAGATAAGTGAGTTCAAATTATATATAAATTTGATATTAAATATATGTACATGTGAAAGAGAAAGATTTGGGGGATGTATATCTCCATTGTTTATTCCATACACGAGAAGTAAGTCGTTTTTTGTTTCTATATATCACATGGTTTTTGACCTCTTCTTTTGCATTGAATTTTAATATATAAGTAAACATAAATGCTAATAAAACTCCCAAACGTTAAACTCAAGCACAAGACACAGAGGGGACATTCAACAGACAGCTCTTTCCTTTTCTGTTCTCTCTCTGGATATTTCTGTCCTTTCAAATGTTTTCCCTTTAGTTACTAGATTTGGGACATGATTCTATAGATGGTATAGACTGATATATTTAAGAATATAGAAAAAGTAAGCAGCAATAGTCCTGTGCTGTAGAAATTCTTGTTAACTATATTCAAGGTATAGATTATTTTATTTTCTACCATTAATACCAATATTAGTCATTGCTTATCCTCTCATCTCTTTAAATGAATAATCAGGATAGTATCCCATCATTCTTCCCTGATTTACCACATTGCTTGTAACATTATTCTGCTGTTCTTTTCTGAACCTGCAGACCTTTAGTTCTCAACCTGAAAAGAGGATGCCCTTGTCATTTAGCTGACATTTCAAGAGTTTCTCTTCTTTCTTTGCTGCTGACATAAACATATGAACCTCTTATATTATGTAGGTGGTATATTACTTTGAAGTATATATATATATATATATATATA